TCTCCTCCTTGTACTTTTCCGATGTGGGACAACTTCTAGCACATGGAGACCATCCTTGTATTCTTCCAATGTGGGACAACTTTAATTCCAATATTCTGCCAAAACCCAACACAAAGGGACATGGATAACTGTAAAATTATATCAAACATTTGGAAAGTTCACAACTACATGTGCACAGAAAGTGGGAATTCTCCGATCAGTTTATGGAAAACTTATGACTAAAAATATTAAATCGTGCATAAACAAACCCTAAAACTACTCAGTATAATTTAACGTTACAATGCAAACATTTGTATATTGTTTTACTCTCCCCAAAGTGTCTGCCTATTATCATGCACTCTGCCATTTCAATTCACCAACTGATTTTTCTATATATATTAATAAGAAAATAGTTTATATTGAATTCTTGATCTACTTTTGGTTAAAAATAAAATATTGCAAAGATAAAGTCACCCAAAATTTGTAAGTAATAAAATGCCAATTTGGTTTCCATAAGCTAAGTATGAATGTCGGGTAAACTAATGACAGTCATATGCAGGAGGAAAGATTTGCAATACATGAACCTAACTAGATAACTATATTGCAATCTCAAACAGAAACTACAGTATCGAAAGAGGGCTATCTCTCTCCCAATAACTCTCTCAAGTTCCTCACAGGATACTATTCTCCAAATACTCTCCTTCTCCCTTACTACCATTATTTATGTCCATCTTTTCTAATTACCATACCGCCCYTTCATACTAACAAACTAATACTATTCCCCTATACCTCTAAGTCCCCTATAATAGGATTCTCACGTTACCTCGCCCTTCAGAGACACCTTGTCCTCAAGGTGTGCATACACAAAATCAAATTTACCCACCATTTTTTTTCAAACTCGCTAAACACCAACAAAATTAGAAACTTATCTCAAAACCCAGATGAACTGTTTATTCTGATGGATGAACAATCGACGGTGTGCAACAGACGACGGCAGTGGTGTGTGACAAACACGGCAGATGATGGTGTACCACGGCGACGGTGTGCGGATGGTGGCGGCAGCAGATGATGGCGCGCAGTAGTGTGCGACAAATGATGGCGGCTATGGTGTGACGAACTTCGTTGGGCAATGGTGTACACCGGCGGCATACAGCGGATAGCAGCAGCGGTAGCAGCAGGCGGTGATGGCTGAGGATTTTAAACAACGACGGATGCCCAAGTCGCGAACAGCAGCGGACATTGAGAAGGTGGACGGTGGCGACAAGTTGTGGTTAAGATGGAATTTCCCGATGACGGCTACTAGGGTCTCTCCCATCTCATGAGTAGGGTTATGCCATTTCGGGTCGGATTTTGGATTTGGATTTAAAACAAATCTTGACCCGACCCGTAACTTATCTTGCCCATATGCCTCATTTTCTGCCTTGGACAATGACCTAAAATGGGCCTTAACAATTATATTAGTAATCAATGTTTTAAAAGGCTTTTTTGAGGCTTACGCCTTGAGGCCCGCCTCGAGGCAAGGCTCTAACTTTTAGCCTCAAGTCATACGCCTTCTTTGGACTATAAGAGGCTTACGCCTCGCATAGAAGAGGCTTACGCCTCTTTGAAAACGCACTGAGGCTTAAAGTATACGCCTCGTGTAATGATTAAAAGAATACTATTAATTTTTCTAATTCTTAAAAAATATCAAGGTTTTTTTTTATGGAATCCTAAGCAAGAGTTGTAACAATTCAATCTATTACTACTTTTACTACCTAGACTTTAAAAATATTAAAGACAACAATTTATAGAATAAGTAAGTTCTATTGGTGATAATAGTAGTGATGTTATGATGTTTTTTTAGAATTTTTTTTGAGTGACAAGTAACAGGTGGATATTTTGATAATTTTATATAACTATTATGTTTGGTAATACTTGACCACACAAATTTAGGATTTGTTTAATTCTTTTAATTAAAATTGAGGCTTACGCCTCATACCGCCTTGAGGCTTACGCCTCGCCTTTTCAAGAGAAAAAGCCTTGAGGCCGCCTTTAGCCTTTTAAAACATTGTTAGTAATCAGCCCACAAAGCCCATGGTCCCATGATTCGTTTCCCTCCTTACCATTCACGTGATTAGGGTTTCTTTCTCCTTTATCACGTGACCTACTATCTCCATGACTACAGTCATGAATCTTGCATGGGCGCCCCCACCAACCCTTCTTCTCCAACCCTACCTGCGTTCGTCGGTGGTGATGGYCGTAATCAACTTCTTGTCTCTCTTTTCTTCCATTTTCGACATGAACAACCACATTTTCCCAATGTTTTTGGCTACTAGAACTCATTCTCTGACTCCTCACTTGCCCCATAATCGTCAATGGTCGTCCCCCCTTCAGTCATCCAACCTCTGTTGCAAGTTGTATCTCCCCGGTTCCCCTATGCCTAATCTTCAAATTTCGTCGTCGATCTCTTTCCAATCGCATCCAAGCCTTCCTTCCCGACATTCTTTCTCTCTTTTTTTTTCCGCTTCTTCATCGAAAAACTCCCGTGCAAATCAGATTCAGCCATCTTCAGACTCGTGCCCTTCCTTCTTGGACATTTGATTTTTTCTTCATTCTTCCTTCTGCGGCAGCTTCTTTGTCGCTGCCTTCTTCCTTTCCTCCTTAGCTTCTTCATACTCTTTTGAGGATAGTTTTTATTCTTTGTTCTCGAGGCATCCTTGCACAATGACATTCCCAATCCTTGATTGATTTTCCATCGAACTCTGAACCACGTTCTTGGGTCTAATCGCCGTCTTCCAGCAACCCTCCGTCCCTACTTCCGAATGCTCCTTGCGTTTGCTTCTTCCTTCCTTGATCTCTCTTTTTCCTCCCTAATTGTAAACCCCTTTTGCATTTCTTTCATTATTCGACCTATTTCATTATAATGTTCCTTCATTTCTCTCAACCATCTCTGGAACTTCATCACTGTCTTGAATGGGAGATCCATGGCCAAGATAAACTTACTATGATACCAATTTGTTAGGATCCCAAACACAAGAACCTAACTAGATAACTATATTGCAATCTTAAACATAAACTACAATATCGATAGCCTTTCGAGAGGACTATCTCTCTCCCAAGAACTCTCTCAAGTTCCTCACACAATACTATTCTTCAAGATACTCTTCTTCTCCCCTACTAACCTTATTTATATCCATCTTTTCCTATCTAATTACCATAATGCCCCTTCATACTAACAAACTAATACTATTCCCCTATACCCCTAAGTCCCCTGTTAGGATTCTCACACATAAATACACGAAATAGCTATGACAGGATTTAAATGTCATTCATATTTAAGTGCTAATATGAACATAGGTATGTACCTTAGAAAGAGCACTGCACCCCCATAAATAAGATTCTTTTGGCCAACAAAAATACTCCACCCAGTAGTGAGCAGATGCCGCCTAGGTTGACCTGCAAAGTTTATCCAAGATTGAGTTCAATTTTCTCAGCCAATCARACAACACCAAAGGAATCTCGCAATAATATACTTTTGTAATATGTTTAAACCTCCACTCCACGCCATGCAGGTCCTTCGCTATCAACTTCAGTCAAAATATACCCAAAATAAAACAATTGACATAAAACCTAACTCTTTTTATTCGAGGAAAAAACTGAAAACAAAGCAGATATAGGAAAGTAATGGGCAACCAGATCAGGTCGGAAACAGTCATTAGCAGCACTACGAGGAACAGAGAATCCTCCATGTGTGCTGATTTCTTACTAAGATTTGATATAGATGTCAAATTACAAAGGACAAAAAACTAGAACACCATCTTCCAAATAATAAATGCAAGAGAGGGCAGTGTGGAGAATCATAACCTGATTTCTTACTCAATGCTTTGTTAAGACGATACACATCTCTTTCCGCTGGGAGGATTCCTAGTCTAGAACTATTTCCCTATAATGTGTTGGTCTTATTTGCGCTTGGAATCTCCAGACCGCTCACTTAAGAATGTATATCCACAAAAAATCAACCATTTAACTATCGCTCCGGCCAAATTCTCCACCTATGATTTACAGGAGTAAAAAATCAGTGTTTTGGAAGGAAAATAATAGGAAGAAAGATTGGGAAAATTGAACTCCAGGATTTAATGAATAATTTCTCCAAAAGAAGAAATATGTAGGCTGAAATGAAACTAATTGGATGAAATTTCACCTAATAACAAGAAAACAGGACATACATAAAATAGAAGTTTCTAATGTTGTGCACCATCCAGTGGCTCCTATAGCACCAAATGGAAGGAACGAKATCATAATACCTCTTTATCAGTTTTAAGTTCATAGCAACCAATTTGAGAATATCAAGTATGTTGACTCGTGGGAAATGCTAAGCTCTAGAGATGTCACATCGCACAAATGAACTTGACATTCTTGTGGTGGTTGATGATGCTTTCATTCTACAATTACAATATTAATAAGGTGATGGGATACAAAATAGTTCCGTGCAAGCATAAGACAACAGTACCGTTTTCGCCAGATATGAAATGGATTTTTAACCTTACCTTAATTATTGCATTCTCCATTTAGCGTAGAGCAGTAACATGGCCAGCCTTCAGGGATGATTCGCCAGCAACACGGCTGATTCCTGCTCCAAGTTCCAATACGGTTTTGCCATCATAATGAGGAGAGGAGGAAAATAAAGTAGCTATAGACGTCCAAGTATAAAACATCTTATATTTGCGAAGATGACTAAGAACAAAAGTGGAGAGAGGACGTGTTGACTCCGTCTGATCATCCAACTTCATAACTGGAATGATCATTCAGAACCATGCTACTGAAAGTTGGGAAGAAGACTTTCTTAAACCTATGGCAGTGAACAATTGAATACCAAGGGCAAGAAGACAGATCTTAAACCAGACAAAACGTCTACGTCTGCGACCGAACCAAGTAATGAATTCAAACGTATCAAACAGACAAAAAAATGAAGCTAATACTAATTAATATAGGAGATTTAGCGAACAGCATTACTTGAGTTGAGGTTGGTCTTCTYTGCGTACATCGGATCGGAACCATCATAGGTTCCACTGTCAAATCCGCAGCCGCGAATGCGATGATGATGAAGTGAGAGAGGGAGACTCGAGGGAGGTCGATCTGCCGATGGAGTGAGAAAGGGAAATCTGATGAACGTTGGCGGAGGAGCGGGGCCGAACGGGCAAATCCGCAAGCCGTTACCCTTATATTTCGGAGGATTTCAAACAACGGAAATAAAAAACTTTCCGTTGGGAACGGGCAAACCCGCGAGCCGTTAGGGCCTGGGACTTCTCTCTATTGCTTTTCTTGCAACGGTCCGCTGCGGATTCAATTTTCAAGATCTGTAACCGAACCAAACCGCACAATTTCGATTTTCTTAAAAAAAAAATCGGGACGTATCATCATATAATCCAACCGATCACAGTTTCTTGGTTTTCCTTATCTATCTATAATATTAAATCTAAAACTAAAATTAAAAGGTGAATCGCCAAAGGAACGTAGCTTACCGGTAAATATATATCTCCAATCAATAAATTGTGACGTGTGAGTTCAAATCTCTACCTCTGCACGTGCTAAAAAAAAACTGCTTAAAAAAATCAAATCAATTTTTCTAGTACAACATATGAGTATGGTGAATTAAATCAATTTTTTTATAAGAATGTGGTAGTATTTACCTCAAATTTGAAGAAGGACGTAAAGCTATAGCTTTTGTAAATATTTGTACTATTCTTTTTTTAGTATAAAATCCTATTGATCTAGTTACTAATAATTTCCCAAATAAATATGTTAAACAAAGTGTGGAAAATTAATTTCTGAATGACGGAAGTTATATTATTCATTGAAATATACAAATAGGAAGTTGTGCTGATTACAAATTGATGCAAATGAAATTTATAATGGGTGATTTATCAAACTAGCTATTAGCTGATTTAAAAAAAAAACAAATTGAATTATTTGTGACACGTCAGTTAGTCTGTTAAAYCTTTCTAAAAAAAGAAAAAAAAAAGTTGGTCTGTTAAATCTAAACTCAAAAGAAAAATATTTAATAAATAAATAACCAAAAACATTTATAGACATTYTTCTGACATATCATTTCATTAGAATGGATGAGTTGTAGAAATATCTTATCTTAATTAAAAAATGTGACTTGGACAACCACGAGGCCAACATTTTAACCTGATGAGTATTGGTGTTCACGAAATTTATAATCCGAAAAAATCGATCAACCCAATCAAACACATACAGATTAGGTTTGATTATAAAACTTTTTGGATTACGTTGGGTTCAAATAAATTGGTTAGATTGGTTCAAGTGTTGATCTAAACTACATTTGGGTTGAACCGAACCAACCCATATTGATTATTAATTTTAAAACTATTTATTTTAMTCACAGTAAAATTTATATTTAGTTATATTTATTTTAATTTTATTATGKTCAATCCTTTTTATGGATTTTTTACGATGCAATAGCTCTTAAAAACAACCATTTCTGAAGTTCAGAGATAAAAACAAATATGCAAAGCATTCTGTTATTTCAGTGACAAAAACACAAGTGAAAAACGATTACACGTGAAAAACCAAGGGAAAAAATGTAAACCTCGATCAGGGACAACATTTTCCTGCCCGAGATGTTTTCGATCTACAAACCACAGGCGGAGAATACGATCACCGCATATTTTCTTCCTTAACATTTACAGTTGAAGCTAGCTTCTTCAAACTTCTAAATAGGACAATCGAGGTACCTTTCAACAAWTTTTCTCTTCGAATGTTGAGAGAGAATATTCACAATAAATACTTTTTGTTCTCTAAAATTATTACTTGTAGTACAAATTGGTTGATAAAACTTAATACAGGGGTACATTGGTCGCTTGGTCGCTGAGAATAAAATTTATGGAATTAAATGTACTATATGCGAGTGTCTGATCAAGATTTTGACCAGGTATGTTAAGTCAAGTGGTGGCTTAACCGATGAAATGAAAGGCTAGTAAGTAGGGGACCTGCAAAAGAGAAAACACTCCGACACCTAAAACAGTGAATGATCGATCTATACTCGATAAATAATATAGTTTCTCATACTTTAAARCGACGTATAAGATCTCTATTTATAGGCAGGGCTTTCAACAGGACATCCGATAAGCCTCAAACGGCTCTTTAAGGTTTCGGGGATCATGGCATGTTGTCCAAGATCATGTCGAAAATCAATTCCTAAATAAGTGTCATTTTATCGGTGTGGCTGGTAGATCAGGCTGTCGATATGTGGGGTATTGGTTGGCGTAGCTTATCATTCAAGTGGCCGAACTAAGACTTGGTTCGGCTCGACTTTATAAGTGAAATCTAAGGTAATGACCATTGCACAAATTGATATTCATGCTAACTCGTTATTATTTCAGAGGCTGCCACGTGAACAATGAGTAATTACCTCTAACAGTTTCGTCAGATGAGCACAATGGTAATTTTCTCTCCTATGATATTTYGTTGCTTAAATGGGTCACAAAACTATGTTTTGAAAAAGCCGGTCAAATGAGCAAACCTAAAACTTATATGCATGGTTTCACTCGTTTTCTAGCTTTAATTGTTTGTTTGATTATTTTAATGTAGGTATAACTCAACTAGTCAATGCATATATATTGAATTTGCATCTTCGCCATAAAAAAAAAAGGTTTAATATATTTCGTGATTATATGGGATTGAAATTACTATTTGACATTGAAATATTTGTATTATTATTAATAGGCTAAATTACAAAAAATGCTCTTAACTTTATTATTATTATTATCATTTTTAGCACAACTTTTTTATTTGTTTCAAAAATACTCCTATTATTTCAAAAGTTTCGAATATTATCCTATACATTTTAAACGATAAATACGAGTTTTCAACCCTTTTAAAATTGCCGTAGTCGTTAAAGGGAACATAGTTCAACGATCATCGACATATATCTCCAATCAAAAAATTGTGAGTTCGATTTTTCGTCCTATGCTGTACTAGAAAAAATTGCCGTAGACATGTGATTTGATGTAACTCAGATAAATGTATAATAATTAGAGTAGGTTAAAGTTTAGTCGTGATTCTGGCAACGTATTATACATGTCTTTTTAGTGAACAATTTGATAAAATTGATGTTTTCAGCAATTTCTACTGTGGCCGTGAGCACGGTTAAATCCTGTTTTTAACTCTACTTTACCTTTTGGCCGGAGATTCAAATCACCCCTCCGCAACAACAACACGTCTGAAACCTTATTGAAAATTTAACAAATGATCTATTTCCATTTGCCTTTTCTTGACAATTAAGTCTCTCTTTTAGTTTTACTTCGACGAAGTAACCCATACCGGAATTGCACATATTCCCCCCCTCTCTCTCTCTTCCGTTTTTCAATATTGCATTGTTTTCTTTCCTCCCCGAACGCAACCACACCAACTTCCGATTTTCCATTTCTAGGTCTCGTACCTTGATTCTTCAAAATCCATCTTCATCGTAAAAGCAGCTACACTGAATTCGCTTCATTCTGCGTAGTCGCGTTGCCAGCGCTGCTAGGGCTGAATTAGTGGATTCCCGACTCGCCAGATGTTCTTTACGGGCGATTCATCTACTCGTAAGCGAGTTGATTTAGGTGGCCGGAGTTCCAAGGAAAGAGATAGGCAGAAGCTTCTCGAGCAGACCAGATTGGAGCGAAACCGCCGATTGTGGTTGAGGCAGCAAAATTCTGCTGCTCTCAAAATTCAGGTTCTATTTCCTTTTTCCCTTGCGTTTTCTTTTTCGGGTTCCCTTTCGATTCCGTCATTACTTCAAATTTCAGCCGAATGGACACAGCCGCCGACTTGTTCGTGGGTTTTGCTTTTTTCAGCTGGGACTTTCTTTCAATTGTTTTTTAAGAAGAAACAATCTTATAATTGATATATGAAAAAGAAGAAAATGTTCAAGTAAACAAACTCCCAAAGGGAGTGAAAAGAGAAATTCCAAAAAGAGACCAAAAAGCAAAAAAATACAAGAAAATAAGTCAATAAAGAACAAAGCTCTGAGAATTATAAGCCAGAGATAGCCATGGGGAAACCAAAAAACTACAAAGCCGAATCTTGAAACACCATAAGACTCCAAGATCCATTTGGGAGTAATCTTTAAGCCACCGAATCCGCTTCTTGATGTGACACTTGAGAGAGATACAGATGGATCTTTCTTCTCGATAGTTGACTAACTCTTATTTAGAAAGGTGATATAGCCATCCAAACGGGAAGGAGACATACTAGAAATTATTTTGAGACATGTAACAATGTTGTCCCTCGAAACATCCAGAGGAAAATCCATAGCCCAGGACGAAAATGAGGACAAAGACCATTTGAGAAGTTCTGAATGCAAGCTTGAATAAGGGATACCAAAACCTAGTGAGTTATAAACAGCCAAAGAAAATCTTCGGCAAACTAAAACCTTTCACTCGTCAAAAACTTAAATGACTTGTCTTTAATTGCAAATTTATATTCTCCAGCATAACATGCTATCGCCAAATTGCTTGAGGAATATCGACTGCAGCTGTCTTTGCCTCTCTCTCCTCTTGTCCCCCGTCCCCCCTTCTTTTGTTGACGTGGATGTTAATATCACTTTTGAAAATAGGCGAACTTCATCTGTGATTCCTTAAGGAGTTTGATACATTCAACGTGCGGAATTTTATAATAGTGGATCATGGTGTTTAGCCAGTGTCTCCTGTTCTGGGATAACGTGTAATTTGAGGCGAACTGCTTGTGATTTTGATTGGAATGAAACAATGGCTTCCAGTTCCGCTTTCCTGCTCCTTCATTTCATTTTTGGAGGAAATAAAACGTGGAACTCTTTTCCAATTTTCCTCCAATGAACCAACCTTGTTTATGTAGCAAAGGTCTAACATATTTTAGTACCAATCTGATATCAGTGCTCACCTCGTGTTTACCAATTGTTTACCAATTGTTTTCAAAGCGTACAAGAGGATCTCCAGTTTATATCAATACAATACTGATGGATAATTAGATGAAAGCAAAGCATTCACTTTTTCTTGAACGGGATTTGATCTCTTATTTTCTTTCCATGGAGCAGGGGCTTTCATTTCATGTTAATATGTTATATACTCTATTGTCTAGTTATTTACTTTACATCCTTGAAAGTAGTTATTATTTGGTTTTACTATTTAGTTTTTTGGACTTTCGTCACGATAAGTCACGTATCCATCTGCTGATTTTTACTTTGACTAGTTTATTTCTACAGAAATGCTTCAGAGGGAGAAAGGCCTCTGAAGCTGAACATTCTAAGGTGCGAGAGCAATTTCATGTTACTTATGGAAAGCATTGTGAGAAAGTTGACAGGTAGAAATTAAAATCTGTATGTAATTGTTATTTAACAACAATAATCATTGTTTATATGAGTTCTTTAGGATCTTCTCTTTTGTCTATTTAAGGACAATAGTCATTTAGTTTTTCCCTACTGCCCCCTATTTCAACTGACTACCTCTAGTGTTCTTCACATTGTTTGTTCAGTCAATAATAACCGTTGTTGATATGTATTGTCTTTAATCTGATCATTGATTTTTTTTTTTAATCTTGAATTGTCACTTCAACTCAGGCATTGTTTTGGTCCTGATTCAGAGTTTTTCCACCAGCTTCTCTTTTTCTATGATGCAAAACATACTGGTGATTTTTCGGTTCTTGTAGAGACCTGCCGGTTACTTCAGAAATTTGTTCAAGATACTGGTAATCAAACAAGTATTTCTTTCCCTGAAAACTGAACCAATTATCTGCTTTTGTTTGGTRTACTATTTTTACCTAGTTTATGGTGTCCAGCAGTTTATCACCTCTCTAATGTTAAAAGAATTCACGTAAATATGCAGATTTTTTATGGAGACAATGTCTCTTCCAGTTTGATGTTTTGATTATTTTTTACAAAAAACTTTCATTCCATATGGAAGAGCCGTATATGTTAGGAGTATTGTAAGATGATGGGGTAGTACCCCTTTCAGAAACTTCTAATATTTGCAGCATATCCTGCATCATAATCCCTTTTATCTTCATATGTTGTTTTTTTTTGAAGTTGGACACAACAAAGTCTAGTCATGTTGGTGTTATTTGGACTGGAGCCCATTTCTTTAGGGGTTTCCCTTGCAGGGCTGTTTTTTTGTATGCCCTCTTTGTTTTTGTATCTATTTTTCATTTCTCTCAATGAAAGTGCCGTTTCTTAATAAAAAAAATGTTGGTGTTATTTGGAAGCCAGTTGACGAATTTTGCTCGTCAAATGATTATTCAATGTTACTTATAGATAACCTTTGGGCAGTTATTAGGGTCTAGGAATGCTTATGGTGATTTTCTTTTGGAATATTATTATAAAAGTGACTAATAGCAATATCTCAACTCTCAAGATATTGATTGCTTTCCCAACCACTGTAACACCCTTTTTGTTATTTCTATGTTTTCTTGTGCTGCTTCTGGACTTGGTTCCGAACTTCCCAGAGTAATAATTGTCAATATTAAAGTATTTTCCCATAACTATTGCTAGAAAATTTTAACCTTTTTGTGGTCACCCTACTAGGGGATGTAGTGAGCATCTTTGCTGGCAAGGATTATTTTTGTAACAAAGCCTTGGTGGACTACAGAGTTAAGAAACTTGCATATGCTTGCATCCAGACTGTTCATCATAATAGGTAATTAGTTATCTTTTTTTTTTTTTAAATATTATGAATGCACAAATCGATGTTTGTTTCGACATTTTTGATCTGTTGGGTTTCCATGCTTCATTGTTTGTTGAGATATTTCTCTATTCAAGGAGATATAGTTGACACATTTTTTCCCCTTGAGCTGATGAAATTGGAAATACTATCATTTTTATATTATAAATTGTTGCGTTGGTGTTTGCACATCATTCTTACTTTGTGTTATTCTGGATAGACATCAATCAAGGGATCAACTTTTTGCCGCACCTAAGAATTCTAACTCATCTACAACTCTATTATTAGACGCGGTTGTTATCTTACTACAACCCAAACTCCCATGGGTTTGTAAAATTGTTGGCTACTTTCTGGAAAGAAATGCCTATGTGCTGATTAGGGATATCGCTTTGACAGGGAAGGTATATATTTAATTCCTTTTTCTTCTGCCTGGTGTAAATTTTTATTTTCTTTTTGTGGTTTCACTTGCAATTATACTTGTAGATGTTTTTCAGAGAACAAATTCACATTTAAGCTATTGCAGGAAAGTACAATTTCACATTCCAACGGTTCAGTGCCTTCTTTAGAACATCTGCTTTCTCTTCTGAGTTCTCATGTTGGTGAGAAGCCATGTTGTTGCCCACGTGTTGATCCCAATTGGAGTTTCTCCTCCCAAATTCTTACTCTTCCTTTATTGTGGCAGACATTCCCTTACTTAAAGGAGGTAGGTTTCCTCCGAGTTTTTCTTATACCAGCAAAATGTGTTTGGTTGGATATCACATTCGTGAACTTCGTTTTATTTTATCCACCTATTTTACATATACTTGTTATAAAGTTAGAGTTTGATATTGGACACTTTCACCWCTTTAAGCTTTGAAGCAAAAATTTGTTTGGCTTATTCTCTTCTTTTACGAATTTGTATGCCTTACTTCAGGTTTTCGCTAGATGGGGGTTGATTGGACATTACATTCATCAGATGACATCATGTGTTCAACAATATGCAAATGTTCTCCCAAAGGATGTAACAGCTGACATTACAGGTTATGCCTGCCTTCTTGGAAATGTACTAGAAATTTCCAGAACTGCTCTGTCTCAACCCGACTGCTCATCCGAATTGGTAACTAGCTGATGTATTTTAGTTCGATTTTGCTCTCTCTCTCTCTCTCTCTCTCACCATACTCATGCATCTGAAATGAAGTTATGCCTTCCGTTAACCTTGCTGCTTTAGTGCTGTTGGGATGTAATGGTGTTACTGAGGGTCCAAGGTCATTTCTCTCGATAAAGACAGATAGAATATAGGTTGCACAGTGACAGCAAATTTATTGGTTACTTAACTCCAGTATGCTCTGAGGATGCAATGTGGTAATTAAAATGCTAATTTTGGGTCTATTTTTTTTGTACTTTGTTGTGGATAGGCTGTAGACCTTGCTTCCATCACAACATTCTTGCTGGAGCTACTTCCTTCGATAAAATCACCTCTTAAAGATATGAAAGAGAGTATGTATTCACGATCACCTTCATTCTTTTTCTTGATTTTTTGCTTCATTTCAGTTAAATTTGTTATCTAGTTTATCAGAAGTGACATCATCTGCCTTCCCGTTTATGTGGCCAATGATGTTTTGAATCTGTATGTCATCAATAGGTGCTTTGTTGGGTGAGGATGATGTGGTTGTGTCTGATCAAGAAATAGAATTTGTTTTGGATAAAGATGTTGAGAAGCAGATATGTGATGCTATTGATCCACGATTTCTCCTGCAGTTGGTATCTTATCTTCCCGTCTTGTATTTTTGGTTGACCATGGAAACAACAATTTAATTGACAATTTGGAATTGGTTTATGCTTTCCAGGCAAATGCTTTATTTGGACAAATTTCACGAGTCAGTGGGTCTTATGATGGTCCTGATGATAAAGAGGTCACAGCTGTTGGCACAGCCTGTGCTTTCCTGCACGTCACTTTCAATACCCTGCCTCTGGAACAAATTATTACTGTTCTAGCATACAGAACAGAGTTAGTTCCAGTACTTTGGAATTTTATAAAAAGGTGCCACGAGAACCAAAAATGGTCATCGTTTTCAGAGAAGCTAGCATATTTATCAGGAGATGCTCCTGGCTGGCTCTTACCTTTGGCTGTTTTCTGTCCTGTGTACAAGTAAGATTTACTCTATTGATCCTTGTTTATCTACTTTTGAACTGAGTTTAGATTCATGATTTGATGTTATATATAGTAATGTTGTGAGATTTGGCATGTCCTGATTAATTTTTTTTATGGGTCAGGCACATGTTGACAATCATTGATAATGAGGAGTTTTATGAGCAGGAGAAGCCACTATCATTAAAAGATATCAGATGCCTGATTATCATTTTAAGACAGGTAGGATGTCTTGAAAGGTCTGTAAATACAGTGCTGCAATGGTAGAAACTTTCTTAACACCTGTGTTAAAAAATTCTTTTCATTTCTGGATAAATACAGTTCCTGCTTTAGATTTAGTTGCTATTGTAACCATGGAAAAAAAAGTAGAAGGGGCTGCTTAGTTTAAGATTGTCATATTCTTAGTGTTTTCATTTATTCTACTTTATGCAGGCCCTATGGCAGCTTTTATGGGTGAGTCCTGCAGCTCCCAGTAACTTTGCAAAACCTGTTGCTAGTGCCCATGTTACTAAGAGGCACACTGTTGAATTTATTCAATACAGGGTTACGATTGTAGCTTCGGAGCTCCTGTCACAGGTATATCAGTTCTTTCAGTTATGTATTTTCTTGTTGGTTGCTTTAAATTCCATATCCCTATTTGATATTTTATGATGCATGAGTGCAAGAAATTTTCCAGACAGAATAGGCCTTTTCTTCTTGTCTTGGCTTCTATGAAATTTTTTGAGAAAGGCTTGTGTATAATTATTTGCTTCATTTTGTTTGTCTCCACGTAGTTGCAAGACTGGAACAATAGACGGCAATTTACACCCCCCAGTGACTTCCATGCTGATGCTGTGAATGATTATTTCATTTCTCAGGTAATGGTTCGTAGTGAATATTTATGTTTTGATGATTTACTTTCTAATACTTTTCCTAATTATTTATTTATTTATATTTTTTTTGTAGGCAGTGATAGAAAACACCAGAGCAAATGACATACTGAAGCGAGCTCCATTTTTAGTACCATTTACAAGCAGGGTTAAGATTTTCACTGTAAGCAAGTTGTGTTGTTTGTTTATTTATCGAGTATTTTTTTCTTGTCGTGAGTGAGTAACTGAAACATGTAAGGCTGTAAATCATAATTCTTGTYGCTAAAATTCATTTCACAGTCACAATTAGCTGCAGCTAGGCAAAGTCATGGATCTCATGCAGTTTTTGCTAGAAATCGGTTTAGAATTCGACGAAATCATATATTGGAAGATGCTTACAATCAGATGAGTGCATTGTCTGAAGATGATCTTCGAGGATCGGTAATTTTACACTTCCATTGTTAAACTAGCGCATGTAAATTATGGTCTTACTTCTATTTTTCTCCCCTGCCCTTGTGGAGATGTTGTTTTTCTTGGTTCCTTTGTATCTTATAGTTGTAGAGTTATGTGTAGTTGTTTGTTTAGTTTTTTTATTGTATGTGTTGGATCAATTGCTTTAGTTGCCTGCATGCAGATACGCGTATCATTTGTCAATGAATTTGGCGTTGAGGAGGCTGGAATTGATGGTGGTGGTATTTTCAAGGATTTCATGGAGAACATTACACGTGCAGCCTTTGATGTGCAGTATGGTTTATTTAAGGTCATTATGACATTCTTTATTATTAGCATGGTTTGTTATTATTGTGGAAATCTTGGACAATATAAATCATTATAAGAAGAAGATTGTCATAGGTGTTTGAAATCGCTTTTCAAAATAAAAATGGTTGTTTGAAATCTGTTTCTTAGAATTTCAGGAAGATTTGAGTACATACTGATCGATTCTTCTAATTTGTGTAATTATCTGCTTGTGATCCAGGAAACAGCCGATCACTTGCTCTACCCCAATCCTGGTTCAGGAATGATACACGAGCAACATCTCCAATTTTTCCATTTCCTCGGAGTTCTTTTGGCAAAGGTATGATGATAATGCCTATTCATACATGTACATGCAGTTTACTCTGGTTGGATGTTAAAGTATTAATGTATCACCTGAAACAAGAGTATGAATACAATGTACTAGTTTGATATATGCCGTATTCTTACCATCGGAAGTGTTTACCCACTTGGTCGGATCCTTCATTCTGCAAGCTTTCTCTTATAGAGTTTATGGTGTTCAAATTCCTCACATCAAAAAACTTTCTAAGTAATTTTAGTTCTAATGCTTAGAGATCTCAATTGCATCAAGTAATTTCTGACGGGATGCTGTTTTACCCTTCTTCCTGTAGGCCATGTTTGAAGGCATTCTTGTTGACATACCTTTTGCAACATTTTTCTTGAGCAAGTTAAAACAAAAGTAAGATTTTAGAGGACTTAATGTTCTTCTGTTTTATATTTTATGCATTAATCTATTAATCAAAACATTGATGACCATATCAATGACTACTAGCAAGTTTCTAGACACATGCATATTTAGGGTCCCAGAAATATTACATTTTATTTCGGGTCCATTGCACACTGATGAGGTTGTCAGTTGCTAGTTTCCAAATGTGAAATTTGGGCTGTTTAATGCTGCATTCACTTTTGCAATATGTCATAAGTCTGCATTTTCAGTCTTACCCATCCAAGAATCTCTGCACTCGATTTCAGTATTTGAGTTCATTGCTTTCTGTATGATTTATGAGATTTTAACATTACATCGTTACCTGGTATAAGATATTAGAACTATATTCCCGAATATATTAACCCTTGCCGCATATTGAAAATTGCCACATGCTTAACCAATCACCAGGTACAACTATCTGAATGACTTGCCATCCTTGGATCCTGAATTGTATCGCCATCTTATTTTCTTGAAGGTACGTATCCCCTGAGATCACTTCTAGCTGATACTACACTTCCCTTCCTTGATCAATGATCTAGATCAGTATAGTATCCTGGTAGAGTCTCATGCTCACTCATTATTATAAGTTCTGGGAGTTTTCCATCTGATTTTCTGGACACAGCATTTTGAAGGTGACATTTCCGAACTGGAGTTATATTTTGTTATTCTAAACAATGAATATGGAGAGCAAACAGAAGAAGAGCTGCTCCCTGGAGGAAAAAACCGTCGTGTGACCAGTGAAAATGTCATCACATTCATTCATCTTGTTGCCAATCACCGTTTGAACTTTCAGGTATTGCTACAATTTGTCCTTGGTTTATCTTAGTTGCCCTCCCTACTCAGTTTTGATACCAAAAAAGAAAAAAATCTTCATACTCAGATACGGCAGCAAAGTTCTCATTTCTTGAGAGGGTTTCAGCAGCTTATACAGAAAGAATGGATTGATATGTTTAATGAGCATGAATTCCAGGTATCATCGATCCACTGAACTTATTAACATGGTTTGCATTAAAGTTTGCTGCTATTTCATCCCTTAGTAACTTGGTTATCATTCCACATCAACTACCGAATCTTGAATCTTGCTTCTTTCAATAAGAACTCTCTCCTCTTGGACTTAAACAAGCATTGTATCACTCATGTTGGTATCAACCTTAAAAAAAAAAAACTCTTGGAAGATTTGAGAATGTTCGAACAAGCATCATATCTTCACCAATGGTTAATTTGAGAAATATTTTTCTCCTAGATCATACAATAACTTCTGAGTGAAGCACCAATKTTTTTATTTTTATTCTTCATAGTTTGCATTCTTCTTGGTGGATGGGTAGGGGGTAGAGTGGTTCTGATAATGTGCTGTTATTCAGCTTCATTTTTCCATTTGTTTGACTGGTCTATTTCTTTTCAGCTTTTGATATCAGGATCACTAGACAGCTTGGATGTTGATGACCTACGGACACATACTACTTACTCCAGTGGCTATCATAAAGTAAGTTCTTCTAATCCCTTTTTTCTTTGTATGTTTTTTTTTGTATGCCTCTTTGTTTTTGTATCTATTTTTTCATCTCTCAATAAATTGCAGTTTCTTATAAAAAAAAAACATTTTACTACACTTGTGCAATCTGAATTACGATGTCAAGTTAATTAAAAATCATAATCGTGCATAAATTTAGCTAGAACTGTTGACTGCTATTAATTCATACTTGTAGTCCTCTTATGTTTCTGTGACAATGGAAACAAAAATTGCAGTTGTATTATTTAGGATTCACTGATTGTTCAAGCGCAATGATGATAAAGAAAGAGCTCTCATATTGTTTTAATGATGTTTTTTGCTTCTGTTGAATAACTTGAATTTGAAGACCAAAAGGTTGATGTTGAGCCATGGTTTTGGAAACTTCGGGATACTGATTTTTTGTCCATGCTGGCAGGAACATTATGTCATTGAGATGTTTTGGGAAGTTATCAAAAGCTTCTCAGTAGAAAATCAAAAGAAATTTTTGAAGTGAGTCGTTTCATTGCACTAGCACTTGGCTACTTCTCATTTCTAATTGACATTGACTTAAAGAGAACTGAAATTTAGAAATATAAAAATTGAATCGTGCTTTTCATCAGGTTTGTTACTGGTTGCTCTCGAGGACCGCTTCTTGGCTTTAGATACCTCGAGCCATCTTTTTGCATACAAAGGTAATTGTTATCGGTTCATTTTCTCCCTTTTCTGGGTAACAGTAGACTCATGTTCTTTATCATTATTGTTGTTGTTTTGATTTCCCCACAGGGGGGGATAAGCTCATTTGTTCTTGAGCTTAAACTAATTTACCATGCAAGCAAAATTTCACGTGAAAATGTAATTCAGTGTGAGAGGTAAATAAATGTGTAATGAGGGCCGGCCTAGTGAAGTATTCCTGGACACACACCTAAAACTGTATTCGGGCACTTGTAYATTSGTGTGTGTTGGACTTTAAAAACATTTCTGTTTAATTTGCAATTTAACACCCATGGACACAGTTGTCTTGGCCAGTAAGGAGAATAGTCGTATTCAAATTTATATTTCTATGATCTAGATAGATATGTTATTAATCTGACACTAGTTTCTTATTCCTGTTTCAGGGCTGCTGGTAATGCAAATGAAGAAGCTCTTGATCGCTTGCCTACATCGGCCACTTGTATGAATCTTTTGAAGCTTCCTCCTTATAGGAGGTGCGTCACTGTGGATATCATTTCATCTCTGTTTTTTTGGTTATGTTATCCTTTGGTTTTGAAGATCTTCCATATGTTTTTATGATGCAACCATCCGATATTAGGAAACATCACTATAGAAAGAGATGCTGGGAACACGGGAAACTAAAAGTTGTAGCCTAGTGTTATGTCTTATAAGTTAAATTGCTTTCATCTTATATAAGCCAGTAAAGTTTCAGCTTTGGGACAGAAATTCGCCATTTACAACGTATGGCTAAGTTTCCTGCTACATTGATTTCATTTGCGGCTTCCTGAATTATGATGGTGTTATGCTTCCATCTCACCAAGAGAAAATTGTTTTTTTTTCTTTAAAATGTAATCATGTGAAATTAAGATTTTGTAGCTTTAATTGAAGAACTCTTGATAACTCCTCTATGATTTGTAATGCAGCAAAGAGCAACTGGCAAACAAATTGCTGTATGCCATAAATGCAGATGCGGGTTTTGATTTAAGCTAATGTACATAGTACCTGCTCAATGTTCCTTCTATTCTCCTTCGTACTTTGCATTGGACGGATCATAYGAGGAAATATATAAAGATGCATGTGGAGCAAGTTGGAGGACCAGATAAACTGCAAGGGGAACCACTTGAGCATAGGTCGGACTCTGAAAGCCATTTCTGGCCAGTGCTGATTTAAATTGAAAAATGCCTAAAAAATATACGACTCAGCCAGAGATTGCGTCTGCCAAGCAGGTATCGCATTGGCTATGGAATAAGTTTGTACAAAAATCTTAGGATTGTTTTGTTGTGTCATAGAGGAGCCATGGCCCTACCCCTATTTTAGCTAGGATCTTAGAAATTGAATACACTCTCACTAAAGACGGTGTATATAATATATTTATATTTATGTATGTATATTCTTGTTTCTCGATCGTACAGAGAAATACAGTACCTGGTGATTGAGGAAGGTCTCAAATGGTTTCGGAGTTACTTGTACATTCTGGACTTAGTTATCTTGCACCACGTTCTTGTTCTTGTTATTATTCCAGAGAATCAGAAAGAAATACAGGAGCATTTTTGTTAATTGTGATTGAGGTGCAGTAGTCTGTTATCCGTACCAATGGCGTTGTCCCCTTGTTAAGAGTTCTATAAATACGGACATACCTCGCTCCAATGGGTAGTCTAGTTGGCAAGTGCTTGAGGTCTCTTGGTCTGAGCTTAATACTAAAAACTCTTGATGTCTTCCAGGTCTCGGTTTTGGGACAGGTGTGGATAGTCTAGTTGGCAAGTGCTTGAGGTCTCTTGGTCTGAGCTTAATACTAAAAACTCTTGATGTCTTCCAGGTCTCGGTTTTGGGACARGTGTGGATGTCTCTGGGTACAGGGGARCAAAGTTTCAACTCCCAATTCTAAAAAAAATAATATATAAATACTGAAATACTTTATTTACTATTTTGTTTAAAATAATCGTGTGAGTTTGTTTTTTTTTTTGAGATTTGTGTTATTTACATTACACATTGAGTGGTAGTATTGAAATTGATTACAACAAATTTTCATAATAATTCGAGTATAGATTGATTTTTTCCTCTAATATCAGAAGTTGGATCCTTATTTGCATTTAATGAACTCAAAAAGGAAAAAAAAATCTTAAATAAACTTCCACATTTCTTGATCAATATGGATTATGGAGTAAGARGATAATATGAAATTCAGAAAACCCTTTCAATTTAATTTCAGACACGATTATTATTTTAAAATTATTGAAATATTTTGTTATTTTTGCTCGAAGTTGGTGTTGGGTCATATTTGATCAACATTGATAATCTAATATTTAAAAATAACTTTTTTTCACTGCGTCATTATTTAATGAGACTAATGTGTTCTGCTTCTTTCACCATCTAAGAATTCTATTAAAAAAAAAAATTCTAAAAAACAATGGAATAAATCCCATATATATTGTCAAACGCAAATGCAAGTGGAGATAAAAGATTATACTATATAAACAAAATGAAGACAAAAAATTGGTCAAAAAAAGTCACCGACCCGAGGCCAAGGCCGGCAACACAGCCGTGGGGAGCAAGGTCTCGCATTGGAAAGAAGGCGCCTGGCCTGCTTCCTTCACTTCCTTTCTCTGCCTCCATTTCCAATCAGTTACAGCTATCACTCAATTACGCGCGAAGAATAATAATAATACAGATTGAAACAGGCAACCCAGAAGATCATCAAACATGGTGAAGGTACGGATGAACACCGCTGATGTCGCCGCCGAGGTGAAATGCCTGAGAACATTGATAGGCATGCGATGCGCCAACGTCTATGATCTCTCACCCAAGGTTTCTTTCCCTCCGTCTTCTTTTCAGTGCCCTTTCGCTTGCCACTCATCTTCTGTTGCTCTAGCTAGCTCATAATCTATTTCCTCGGCTTCTGGATTAATCTTCTCTTGGAACTAATATACTAGAGAAAGTGCGGAAAATATACCCTTTCCAAAAACTGCCCTAGAAACTTTGACCAGTAATTGATAACGAATTGCTGCTCACCTATGTTTTTCTGTGTATGTTTCGACGTTTTGGGTGACTCTTGTTACTAACAGCACTGTTGATTGATTATGCTGGAATTTAGTTTGTTTTCCCAAATTGAGATTACATAATAACAGTTTCTCTCTCTATCACCTCCCCAATGCATTGGTTTCTATAGACATACATGTTCAAGCTTATGAACAGCAGTGGAGTCACCGAATCGGGTGAGAGTGAGAAGGTGTTGCTGTTGATGGAAAGTGGAGTTAGATTGCATACGACTGCATATGTTCGGTAAGACGTTATAAATATAACCGCGCATTTCTTTTATATGCTTGGATTAAATTTGCAAGAATTGTTAGAGGATAATAGCCCATAATGCACCACCAGTGGGGAAAAGGAGATAAATAAACCTGCCTTTTTGGTGCTGTAGAGACAAAAGCAATACTCCATCCGGTTTCACTCTCAAACTGAGAAAGCATATACGCACAAGAAGACTTGAGGATGTGCGGCAACTTGGATATGATCGGGTATGTTTCTTTGTTGAAGGTCCTCTCGCATATATGTTTCTTCATTACAGGCCTAATTTTTGGACCTTTCTATATTCTTTCAGATAATCCTATTTCAGTTTGGGCTAGGTGCTAGTGCACACTATGTTATTTTGGAGCTGTATGCCCAGGGTAACATCCTTCTCACGGATTCTGAATTTATGGTCTTGACTCTTCTTCGATCACACAGGTATCTAAGTTAGATAATTTCTTTTGTTTCTTTACTCTTTACTTGGCATGCACACTTGTATAGGTGATGATACATATGCACGAGCACAAGTTTGAAGATAAAATTTACCATACACGTAGCTAAACTTCCATGGCTTTGTGAAACCTGTCTTTTCGTTTTTTGTTTTTTCCCTAATTTTCAGGACCTGTGTTTTTGTTAATTAAGTGTATATGTTTCAATGCCTATCATTTATCTCTTGAATTGCACTTTGTACCTCTCAGAAGAGTTTTTTTAATCTTCCTTAGCTTGGGGATTGGCCTTTCTCTCCTCCTTTCACAACTTTATCCCATCAATGAAATTGTTTCTTTGCCAAAATATATATATATACATCTTCAATGTATTGGTTTATATCCTTATACTTCCAGCTTCCAATGACCCTTTTATTCCTTCAGATAAGGTGGGCAACATTCTCTCGTTGCATGTTTTCTGTTTTCTCATTAAGTAGTTGATTTTATAAATTAAGAAAAGAAAAATTTCAGGGATGATAATAAGGGGGTTGCAATCATGTCACGGCATCGATATCCAACTGAAATCTCTCGAGTGTTTGAGCGGACGACAACTGCAAAGTTGCAGGAAGCACTCACTCTGAATGACAATGTAGTTAAACTTACAGGGATTGGAAATAATGAAACAGATCCTCCAAAACAGCATCTTTCTAACCACAAAGCCTCGAAACCTTCTGTCTCAAGTAAAGCCCAAGGTGACGGCAGTCGAGTCAAACAGGCTACTTTGAAAGCTGTTCTCGGGGAGGCACTGGGATATGGAACTGCACTATCTGAGCACATTATATTAAATGCTGGTCTGATTCCAAATATGAAACTTTGTGGTGATCATAAACTTGACGATAAGTCTCTTCAGCTCTTAGTGGAAGCTGTTGCAAATTTTGAGGATTGGCTAGRGGATGTTATAATTGGTACTAGAGTTCCTGAAGGGTACATTTTGATGCAGAAGAAAGATGTTACAAAGGAAGAATCTGAGGCTGCAACTGCTAGCCAGGTAGTGTTTTTCTTTCATTTTTCTTGATCTGCTTTAGGGTGAAGTATTATTTGTCCCTAAACTTATGGACGAAAGGTCGCATACCTGCATAAGAAAGTTAGTTTTATAAGTTTGTGTAGTTGCTTGCTGTTCGCATTACTTCTACATTTTATTTTCTTTTTCTTTTAATTGCAGATCTATGATGAGTTCTGCCCAATTTTGTTAAACCAATTCATGTCTAGAAAGTATACGAAGTTTGAGACATTTGATGCAGCTCTGGATGAGTTTTACAGCAAAATTGAAAGTCAAAAGTCAGAACAGCAACAAAAGGCCAAGGAGAGCTCCGCAACGCAGAAACTAAACAAAATACGGATGGATCAGGTTTGTCCAGTGAATTTGAATACTGATCAAGTGCACTTCCAAATATTTCTAGATTATATAGTGTTCATCGAAAATTGTAATCATAGTTGATATTTAAAACTGTGTCACGTATGGACTTCAAATTTCTTCTTGAGGGTTTTTCTTTGGTTTAAATGGTTAGAGAGAAATGGAAGAATTCTTTTGGCGGAARGAAAACCCTTTTGAGGTCAAAATTTATTGTTCACGTTTCTTCTGTAATGCTATAGGCCTGTCAATAATTATAGGCTTTTATTTATTTTTCTGCTGATTCAAAGACCTTTTTGTAACCTCCGTAAAGTCATTCTATCTATTAATGAAATTTTCTTATAAGGGGTGGAAAAAGTTATTCTTAGCTTCTTTGCACTTCATCTGTTATTTGGCATGATATATTTTTTTTTTGATAAGAAACAAACAACTTGTATTCCAAACACAAAACAAGAACAGCCTAAAGGCAGAGGGTTGAGAAAACCCTCCCCTAAGAACTATACAATCACCGCTTTCCAATCACGAAAAATCATTTGTAGACTATAGTTATAAAAAACCTTCTTATGGATTGTTGCCCACCAAGAAGCCGTATGTTGTATATTCACACAAAGAGAATCCACCGAGGACTTCTTATGGATTGTTGCCCACCAAGAACGTATTTGGCATGATATACGTTTGAGTTCTATGTATCACTTCATTCTTAGAGTCATGTGTACTGATATATCTCAATTTTTGTTTAGGGAAATCGTGTAGAACTACTGAAACAAGAAGTGGATCATAGTGTTAAAATGGCAGAGTTGATAGAATACAATTTAGAAGATGTGGATGCTGTTATATTAGCTGTCCGTGTTGCTCTTGCTAAAGGGATGAGCTGGGAGGATCTTGCACGAATGGTGAARGAAGAAAAGAAATCTGGAAATCCAGTGGCTGGTCTAATTGACAAACTTAATCTTGAAAGGAATTGCATGACTTTGCTGCTGAGCAATAATCTCGATGAAATGGATGATGATGAAAAAACACAACCAGTTGATAAGGTGAAAAATGTATAGTTTAGCTACAGCTTTATCTTCCTATGTTCTAAATTTTTGCTTGATATGAAAAAAGAATCGTTCTCTTCGGTGGTTTTTATCTCAGTTTATTGAATAAGGGTTGTAATTAAACTACTTCATTATATTGTACGTTGTTGTATTGAATCCTCTGGTACCTTGTGTTCGTGCGTCCAGCATTATTATCACCAGTTATTTGTCCCCTTTATTTAAAAATTATTCTCCTAGCCTGATTTGTTCTAATTGGGGAGTTTTTGTTGCAACTTTTTAAGTTTTTAGTTGTATTTTCACTCTCTAGAGAGTTTGTATCTTTGAACAATTTTGTTCCTTTCATTATTTCAATGAGAAGTTCATATCTTGTTAAAGAAAAAAAAAATCACCAGTCATAGACGCTTTTACTTTGCATTTTATCCATTTCCTTTATGGCATTCTTATAAATTTCACATTTCATAATCTTTCTTAGGTGGAAGTGGATATATCACTTTCAGCTCATGCTAATGCTCGGCGATGGTATGAACTTAAGAAAAAACAAGAGAGCAAACAGGAGAAGACTATCACAGCACATGAAAAAGCTTTTAAAGCTGCTGAAAGAAAAACTCGTCTTCAACTTTCCCAGGTAGCATTACAATGGTGGTATTTTTCTCCCTTGATGTCGTGCTGTAACATATTATATACTTTATCTTTGGTCTGTAGAAGGGCACGTTTATGACCTATTGCTAGAAACAAGAATGGTGATGTTGGCGCACTTGATGCTTTAATCAGTGAAACAGTTTTCCTGACATAATCATCTTTGCAGTTTTCCTGAGAGCTATGTTATGGGGTATTTGGCTGGAAAGGAAACATGGATTGTTTACGGGTGGAAAAGTCTGTGGACTATGTCTGGGATTTAGTTAGATTTAATACTTCGTTATGGGGCTCGGTTTCTAAGTCCTTCTGTAATTATAGCTAGGCTTTATCCTTTTGGATTGAAGTCTTTTTCTTTAGGGGGCTTCCTCTTTCTGGGCTGATTTTTGTATGCCCTTCAGTTGGTCCTTTTTTGTAGTTCTTGTATCTTTTTCATTTTTCTCAATGAAAGTATTGTTTCGTATAAAAAAAAAAATCTTTGCAGTCTTAAAATTTGTCATATCTGGCATGGACCATTTAAAATATGTGCCGTTTCTGGCATGAACCAACTAAAAATTTAGCAAATTTGATGTTAGCACACTCAAGTTTATTTAGCAAGGCTTACTGCATCTAGTTTATTTGAGGTTGAAGGTTTATTGGAATTTTATTAAAGTCAATTCTAGCAATAGGTCATATATGTTTTATGTTTTCATTAGTCTCAATGAAAAGTTCGGTTTCTTATATAAAAAAAATTGGTTTTAGCATAAGATCCTCTACAGTTTGGTCTCTGTTCTATGTTTCAGATGAGTAAAAATAACATTATATGTCATATGGGTATAGATGATGTTATTTTTTTTATAGGAAACGAAACTTTACTAATGGTCATTTGTTCTTATTTATCTTATTGATTTCTTTCTAAAACTATCTCTATCTATCTTATTTAATACTTGTAAATTTGAATCTGTGAATGTTGTTTGAGAATAACAAATCCAATCCAGAAGAAATTTTAAATTTAATTGTGTTTACAGATCAACACGACCTTACTTGAAAATGGTTTGTTCTATAGGTTGTTCAATTTTGTTCTTAGAACATTATAACAAGGTATTGATCAACAATGAAAAATCAATGTTGTATTACCTCACCTCTAAGATTGAAGTGAACTATCCAACTTCAATCAGTATTGCAATTTATTTATTTATTTTAATGAAAAACCAAGATTTCATTGGGAAAAGAATGGAAGATGACAAGAGAACAAAATAACAAGCAAAGGGCTCTAAAAATCCAGCCAAAAAGGCCTGTTACCGGGGGAGCCTCCCAATTAACTATATAACAAACGGCTCCAATCCAAAATAGTGAACCTAAAGGATTGACTTGTGGCTTCTGGAAGTTCTGAGAGGGGCACCTAAGAGAGAAATCTAGAATTTTGTGGGGCTGTGCTGTTAATTAGGGTCCTTGTTTGGTGTCTCTGTAACAAAAGGAATCAGAGGGTTTTTCAGAACAAACCCTCATCACACCAATTTTTTTGTAATAGTGTACAACTCAATGCTTCTTTATGGTGCATCGGTCAGAGTATTTTTTATTTTTTCTTTTTGTAATTATAGTCTCTCCATGACCATTCAAGATTGGAAGGCTACTCTCCATTAGTTTTCTTGGGAGGGGGATCCCTCTTCCCCCTGCCCTTAGGCTGTTAGCTCTCCTTTTTCAATACGTATCATGTTTCTTATCAAAAAAGAAAAAAATGATAATTATCCTTGGAGACTGACACTCAAGTAGAGACATTAAACCTAGTCAAGGACCACACCTCCTCCAAGTTCACCCTTCCAAGTAAAACCTCCTCCCTAGTTCTCTCTCCATCCCTAACTTCTTTCATTTTATGCGTGTATCTATCTATGGATAATGTCGGTATATATAGGTACAAGTACATTACCTATAATATACAAAATGATTATGGATATCTTTGTGGTTAATGATTTGCGAAATACAACTCTCTTATTCATTTTGCATCTACTCAGCTCATAGCTGGTGTGTCTGCAACCATGTTCGATTAGAGGGATGTATTTTGTAGGAAAAAAGACTGTATTGTGTCTATTTTGTTGGTTTCTTTCTCCTAATATTATGACATTCTCTTATAATAACTGTCTGCCGATTCTTTGAAAAAAAAATATGCAGGAAAAAACAGTTGCGACAATATCTCATATGCGCAAAGTTCATTGGTTTGAGAAATTTAATTGGTTCATTAGCAGTGAGAATTATTTGGTCATCAGTGGACGTGATGCTCAACAAAATGAGATGGTAGTCAAACGTTACATGTCAAAGGGAGATCTGTGAGTAATTTTCTTGCTTTTGATAATTGCCTCACATCCAAGCTCAAACAAATAAAACAGTATTGAGTATGTTGATGTGTAATTACTGTCCCTAGGTTTCTAAAGCTACTGTACTTCGAGGCTTGAAACATGGGTATGATAAAAGATCCGACTTTATATAGATAAAAAAGCAAGTTGAAAGGTTGCTGTTGTAGGCACTTTCTGTTGAATTGTTCGAGGAACCGGGATGCTTTATTTTGTTCTCTTGTTTGTTTAACATTTCTTTCTGCTCATCTTTTATAAAGATGCATCCAATCATTCAAAAGTTATTGCTAGAAGCCACAATTTTTCATTCTAAGCATTGCCCAAGGTCAAGATTGAGAGCACATTGTTTAGGTCTACCTGGAACTTAATTTGAGAGTCCCTTTCGGATGGGCCTTCTTTTATACCTATCCTCCAGAGACACACCGTGATATCCAAATTAAGCCATATGTTGTTTTCTTTTCTTTTGAAAAATTCTCGCATCAAGGACAACATTATGAGACTTGAACTCAGGGTCTCTGACTTGAATCCAGTTGACGTAGGATCCACATATACACATACACTAGTATTTATACATATATTAGATAAAAAACTTATTTCATTAAATAAATGAAATTACATACACACATACCCTAGTATTTATACATATATTAGATAAAAAACTTATTTCATTGAATAAATGAAATTACAAAGGGAGGGGAGGAAGAACTAAAGCCCCCAGCCAAGGAAGATTACAAAAAGCTCTTTCAAATGGCACAGAGAGAGCTTAGACTGTAATTAAAAAAAACAATCATAGAGCTTGCAGTAACCATTATTCAGGTTTTGCACCTAATTTTAGCTCTCATAGTCCTAACTATGGTAATCCTGTGATCCTAATTTTACCGTGATGCTGTTTTCATTATCTCACAGATACATCCATGCTGATTTGCACGGAGCTTCTAGCACTGTGATTAAGAACCACAGGCCTGAACAACCAGTGCCTCCACTCACGTTGAACCAAGCAGGATGTTTTACGGTAAGTTATCCATAATGAGACAAACTTGTAATCAGTTATATGGTGAATCATCTTGTTGGTTGAATTATGATTCAGATTGTTTTTGTTAATTTTATTTTGTAATAGGTTTGTCACAGCCAGGCATGGGATTCAAAGATAGTCACTAGTGCCTGGTGGGTTTATCCACATCAGGTCAGTAAAACTGCTCCTACAGGGGAATATCTTACAGTTGGGAGTTTCATGATTCGTGGAAAGAAGAATTTTCTTCCTCCACATCCTCTTATCATGGGTTTTGGATTGTTATTTCGCCTGGATGAGAGCTCTTTAGGTTCACATTTAAATGAAAGGAGGGTAAGAGGTGAGGATGATGGAGTGAACGATGTTGAAGAAAATGAACCTCTCAGTGAAGAATCTGATACTGAATATGAGAAGAGAGAATCAGAAGAAGTATCCAATGCATCTGCAGATTCATTTAAACCAGTTATAAAGAACTTATCTGGATCTGAAAACACTGAATCACTTAAAATTCCTGTTGAAGGTGGAATGACCTTGAATGGTGTCAATAAGGATAACCAACCTGATGCTAGAGATAATAAAGTTTCCCTTGCCACATCACAACTTGAGGATCTCATTGATAAAGCTCTTGAGCTTGGATCTGCCACTACATCTAGCAAAAATTATACATTAGAGACTTCTAAGGTTGATTCGGTCGATGTACACCTTCTAGATGATAAAAAAGCTGCAGTGAGAGAGAAACCCTACATCTCAAAAGCCGAAAGAAGAAAACTGAAGAAAGGTCAGAATAGCAGTTCTATAGACAGCAATGTCAAGCAGGAAAGTGAAGGATCAAGAGATAGCGATGTTTCTTTTACTCATCCTGAAAACAAGGTTAGTAATCCGAAGTCAGATTCTGTAAAACTCAGCCGTGGTCAGAGGGGTAAGCTCAAGAAAATGAAAGAAAAGTATGCTGATCAAGATGAAGAAGAAAGAAGCATCCGCATGGCTTTATTGGCTGTAAGCATTCGTGTTTTACTTTCAAATGGTTGAATATTTAAATTGAGATTTATTAGTTTTTTCTCTCTTTTAGCTTGACTTGGGGAGAAATTCAATCTACTCTTCTCTTCACCTCATAGCAATGTATTTTCCTGTTGAAAGATCGCACAACCGTGACAGCCCAATATGTCTACCCATATTATATTATACGCATATAAATTCTCTGCATTSCATGTCTCTATTTCTTATTTTTCTTGTAAAATTACCTCAAAACATGCCCAAATTAGTGTTATATCTGTATTCAATGTTTGTCTATGCTTCTCAACTTTGCATTATAATGCTGCTATGGATATGGAAGTTGCTTTAATTTTATTCCACCGCTACAGATGTGAATTTGTTGGCTGTGAATGATGTTTTTGATAACTTGGCTCTCCAACTTTGAAGTTCATGCTTCGAACCCTTGATCTAGTAGACACTTTGATAGGAACCATTCTTATATTTGTACTAAGAGAGAAAAGATTACAAGGTAGAGAAAAAGTTGGGAGTCTTCCCTACTCTCCCAATTCCGAACTACTTGAAATATTTACCCGATGGCTTTCTACCTCCAACCCCCACCACCATCCACACTCATAAATTCACTTTATTTATAACCGCCTTCACTCCCGACAAAGTCAGTAGGTAATGACGAAAATGTCCCTAACATCTACCCTATCACACTTGAAAATAGAAATGTGTTTCTTAGAGATGGTGCATGAAAATGATGAACGTGTAGAAAGAATAAATGTTATTTTATTTATTCTAGTTTCTGATTGTCGATCTATCACTCCATAATTGGTAATATTTTTGGTTTATAGTCCTCAGGTAAACTAACGAAAAATGAAGGGCCTCAAAATGCGAAGGAAACGACTTCCGAAGTGAAGAAACCTGATGGAGGTAAATATTCTTGGTTTCCACTATTTTAAAAGTGTGACCATTTAGTCTACAATTACCAATTATCAAAGTTTGAGGCTGTTMTAAAATGTTCTAGTGCACACCGGATCTCCAAATGAGCCTTGTGAAAAGGACAAGCTAAAACTTGCTCTTGAGGTTATGAGTTAAAATTCGGTGGCATTTTCTTAGACATTTAATGTCTTATTAAACTCTCCATAACAAGTGTTTTGAAGCTAATAGTTTTCTTTGGCCTTGGGGCGGGTGCGGGTGCGGGTGCCTCTGGTATGGGGACAAAGGTCCGAGTCCTAGGTTATCAGACCAAAAAAAAAAAAGTTAATAGTTTTCTTATGAATTGGTCCAATTGAAGTGTATCTACTATCTGAACGCTCCCTAACAAGTGTTTTGAAGTTAATAGTTTTCTTGGGCCTTGGGCAGGTGCGGGTGCCCTGGTATGGGGACAAAGGTCCAAGTTCCAGGTTAACCAAAAAAAAAAAAAATGAAAGTTGATAGTTTTCTTATGAATTGGTCCAATTGAAGTGTATCTACTCTCTGAACACCCCTTAAGAAATATAAACTTTTGGTTGATATTTGAAAATTTAAAGCTAAAGTCTTTCTATTAAAAAATACATAACAACAAAGCGCTTAAAATTGAACTAATCATACTTATACTCTTAAAAATTACAAGAAAACATACTTTCTGTAAAAAACATAACCAACAAAGCCCCCCAAAGAGGTGGAAGAGCAGGATCTTTGGAAAGTTACAAGCTACAGATTTTTCTATAAAAGATATAACTGGTTCTGCAGGTGTTATAGTGGGAAAAAAAACCATGTGAAAGGTAATCACGTTTCATTTGTAGATGGACAGTAATTTCCTGCTTTTACGGAAGTCAAGACTCGGGCTGGAGAATCTCTTTGACATCTTTTGTTGTTTTCCCTCGAGAGAGTCTGTACAGTGGGTATTCAAGATGCTTTCTACAGGTTGTACAATGTGGCTATTTCCAGAAGGAGATTTGTTAATCATTGCAAAATGCCCTAAAGTTTATGGAGAAGCTGGATAAGTGGTAGTGAGTAGAAAACTGTAATACCTAAATGAGGCCACTTAACTCTTTTTCAAGCTGTTATTAAAGCATTCCAATTGATAATGAGTTGGAGGAATGGATATCTTGAATAATGATCACCAAMATTCATGTCTGGATGGATTATGTGAGTTCYGAGTAGCTCTGATCAATACACTACGATGTCCTTTGACCATTTTAATTCTAGAGCACCCCTTTTTCTTGTACGTTTGTATAATACACAGATTTACATTTTTATGATCGTAATTGAGGTTCCCTATTTAAATGGAGGCTTATGCCTCATACTGCAGGTTTATACTTGCACATCTTCAAGAAAGAAAAGTTCGAGGTTGCCTTTAGCCTGCCTGCTATCAATGAAATGTTTGTCTGGTTTCTTATCCAAATAAATAAATTCATAACTTAGATATCTATCCAATAAGTAAGCTCAGACATAATGGTCCAGGTTTATAATGCATGGTCCTATGATGGGGTCATATACTTTGACGTCATTTATTTAGTATGAATACCTGCGGAAGAAGATATTGTAGATTATTTCTCTCTGATTGTCTATTCTATGCCAGGTGCTGAAGAAGCTCCAAAGATATGCTACAAATGTAAAAAGCCAGGTCACTTGTCTCGAGATTGTCGAGAACGTCCTGATGATCTTTCACAGAGTCACTCGAACGGTGCAACTGAAGACAATCGCCAAGTGGTCTTGGATAATGATGCTGAATTGGACAAGATAACTATGGAAGAGGATGATATTCATGAGATAGGCGAAGAAGAGCGAGAGAAACTGAACGATGTGGATTACTTGACTGGAAATCCTTTGCCTACTGACATTCTCTTGTATGCTGTGCCGGTTTGTGGTCCTTACAGTGCAGTGCAATCTTACAAATACCATGTTAAGATTGTTCCGGGACCTCTAAAGAAAGGGAAAGGTAAACTAGCATTCATATTCAACAGAAAAACCAAATTTTAGATCAATAAATTCTTCATTAGCCAATGAGCATTCCATGTTCAAGAAATTCCATTCCATAACGTAGCTCTTTTTTGTGCACTTGCTTTTAGCTGCAAAAACTGCCATGAACCTGTTCACGCACATGCCTGAAGCAACAAATAGAGAGAAAGAACTGATAAAAGCATGCACAGATCCAGAGCTTGTGGCCGCCATTATTGGGAATGCACGGGTTACGGCTGCCGGTCTCACTCAGTTAAAGCAGAAGCAAAAAAAAGGAAAGAAGAGCAGCAAGCAAGGAAGCTAGCTGCTGTCTTTGACTCTTGAGGAGTGGATTTTGATCGGAGGGCAAAAGAAAAAAAATTCTCCCTCGTTGCATTTTTCCTGTTTATGCATAGGTAGTCTCTATTTTAACTCCCCAACTTACAGAGGAAGCTGGTGCCTCAATTAGAGTTGCAATCTCACATGGCACCTGCATTCGACATGTCTGAAAATTCAATTTCTGTAGTGTACAGTATTTTTTTTTCAAAAGGAAAAACTTGCGGATTTTGTATTACTCATGCTCATACATTACTATCTTTGGAAATACTGTTTGGTCTTCTCTAATAGAAGCTGCTGACATGAAGGTCTCGTTTCTTTTAGAATAAATAGATTGGTTTGGAAGTTGGAACTAATACGTAATTACGTACTAAGCGTATTGTTTTACGGTCTTGTTAAAAAATGTGTATATATATTCTTTTATAAACTCTGACAATACGTGAAAATGAAGATTCGAACCTCTCACGTTTTGGTTTAAAATATATGTTTTTTTTATGAAAGGTTGTGTCCTRCCCATTCATGTTTTTATTTCCTAACCATAAAATTCTTTGGAATTCGTTACTCCCACACAAAGAAAAGAAATAATAATAATAAATTCGCCCGAGCAGAAGCTGAAGCTGGAGTTTTTGGTACTCCCGGCTTGTGAAAGGCGCGAATGAATTCGTTGGCGCATCGAGTTCCTCTTTCTTCGTTGCGACTTTCGGTTTCGAGTTCGAGTTGGAGGCGCTTTTCCCGTAAGGAGAGCCATAACCATAAGTTTAGGGCGCTTCCGGTAGTTTCATCTGCAGCTTCCACTACTCCCATTTCCAATGCGCAGACCAAAGAGCGCCTTAAACTCAAGCAGCTCTTCAAGGAAGCTTACGAACGCTGCTGTACTACTCCCATGGATGGCGTCTCCTTCACGCTTGAGGACTTCCATGCTGCTCTCTCCAACTATGACTTCGTTTCCGAACTCGGAACCAAGGTCAACCTGCCATTTCAATTTCCTTCCGCTGTTTACATGTGTTCCTTTCTTTCCTTTTTTTTTTAAATAATAAATTCAGAAGTTTCGACCGAACGGGGGGTGGTCATGGTAGTTTGCTGATGGAATTCCGGAACTACTTCTTAGCGTTGTCAACTGACAACAGGATATTCAATATGGACGATTGGATTAGATTAATGAGTACTCATGAATTATTATCTAAATCATCAAGGCTAACACAAATGGAAATCATAACTTTACAAAATTACTTGATCGTGTAATTCCAGGCGACACCGAACTAATGGAATTACATGTTATATTTGTGCGTTTGAGGGTGCTGCTTGCCATGTAGGAGATTATAATTATTGAGAACACTCCTTTATTGAATTTTTTGTGTGGATTTACGTAGAATTTTATATTTGAATCCATCTTCTCGATCTTGTTTTAAGCACAGTCCATGGAGTTGGAAGGAACCAGACTGAAATTTCTGAAAGCTTCTTTTTGTATCGGTGTTTGGTTTTTAAGAGACTGACTTTGCACGAAAGAAATATTTCGTTAAACCTAATGTCACAAGTCATTCCCAATTTCAGGAGTTGTTAGGTCTTACAAGAACAGTGTTAGAAAGTTTTCTATATCTCCATTGAACACAAGTTSATTGAAGAAAGAATTGAACTAATCATCCCTGAAAATTTGTGATTTACAGCTGCAACTATTTGACAACCCATCAGTTTATAGCTACCACAAAACACAGCTTAGTTCGGTAAAGGATAACTGACTGACTTGTTGCTCCAATATTATATAATTAACATAAATCTACGTGTAATTACTTTAATTGGTGTTTGCGCGTGGTATGAACTATTGAGAATGGATCACGGTTGTAAATCTCAATACGTTCAGATTAATGACTTTTACCAGCGTCTCTTCTCAGGTTAAAGGAACTGTATTCAGTACCGATGCTAGTGGGGCACTAGTTGACACTACTGCAAAGGGAACTGCATACTTGCCCATCGAGGAGGCATGCATTCTTAAAATAAGACATGTAGAAGAAGCAGGCATATATCCTGGTCTAGAAGAGGAGTTTGTAATTATAGCTGAACATGAAACTGATGGTAGCTTGATTCTTAGCTTGAGAAGACTTCAGTATGGCCTTGCCTGGGAGCGATGCAGACAACTCCAAGCTGAGGATGTTGTTATCAAGGGTAAGGTGGGTACTGAAAGTCAAGTATTTTCATTTTTCTCATTATGATGACGGACACATCCTTTAATCTTGTTATGATAGTAGTACTCGTGTGACCATTGCCTTTCATCTCTTTGAGACCTTCATAGCTTCCTAACCTAGTTGCAGAGGCACTCCCACTGTATTGTGTTATCATTTTTTATCACTCAATGAAAATAATTTAATATCTCGTATTTGTTCTCCCACTGTAGTGTAAAAGGATCTTGAAATGCAGGTTGTTGGTGCAAACAAAGGGGGAGTATTTGTTCTCGTGGAAGGCCTTAGAGGCTTCGTTCCTTTCTCTCAGATATCAGCAGTATGTTCACTAAAATTTACTTCTGCTGACTGCTCTAGTTGGTTTAATTTTTGAAACTTTTCTTATTTTATTTTGAGGTCATACTGGAAACCCATGCCTTTTCACATTTTTGTGATTATGTGATTAAATGTTTTAAGTTTCTGACTGTTACAGAGCACTGTTTGATTTTTCCACATACAGTGCATGAAGTTATGTTGTAGTATTATTTCTGCCTTCTTCCATTCAATGCCTGCTACTTTCGCTCATCATATTCTTTATCAGTTTTAATATCATAATATCGTCGTCTTCATTATTCTCAATATGCATACTGTGCCGTGTATCTATTTTCTTGTCAATTTATCAGAAATCAACTGCAGAGGAGCTGCTTGATAAAGAGCTACGCCTGAAGTTTGTGGAGGTCGATGAGGAACTATCTCGGCTAATACTAAGTAACTGCAAGGCAATTGCCAATAGTCAGGCAGAGCTAAGAATTGGGTCAGTAGTTACTGGAACCGTGCAGATTTTGAAATCATATGGAGCCTTTATTGACATTGGTGGAGTTAATGGCCTTCTTCATATTAGTCAAATCAGTCATAATCACATATCAGATATGGCAACTGTTCTTAGACCAGGAGACACGCTAAAGGTATTTCATTGTCAATTGAGATCTTGATGGGGGTTACAGCCCTGAACATGTTGAAATTAGTTTTTTGTGGTTGTAGGTCATGATTTTGAGCTATGATCATGAGAGAGGCCGTGTTAGTCTTTCTACCAAGAATTTGGAACCTACTCCTGGAGACATGATTCACAATCCAAAGCTTGTTTTTGAGAAGGTATTCCTCTCGCACTTTGCATTTCTTTCCATTGTGATGTGCATAGCTTGTCTTACAGAAGGTATTCCTTTTGCCCTTCTCACTTCTTATTGTTTTAGTTTATTTGGCTGTCTAGTTGTCCTTTTTTT